AAAAATGATTGATGTCACAAATGAGAATGGAGAAGAATTAGATGATTTTATTAACATTCAAAATTCACCACGCTTGCCTATTGCTATATCCCAATTGGAAGAGGACTTTGTCCATGCTACTCGCAATGACCATGATGAAGGCATATGGGAAAATATTAATACAATCTAAGTTATATTTCTATTTATTTATTTTTTTAACATGTAATTGAGGAGACTTTGCATGTGTATTGATATAATTCTATGTTTTTTTCATTACAGGTAAATGGCATGTCCTCCACCATCTCCACCACCATCTCCTCAGGCATATGGAAAGACATTTTCCAGTAAGAGGAGTCGACAATCTACACGGTTGAAAGGCTTGACCGTTAGACACATATCTGGCCAGAAGTTATCTGTGTCTGTTGATCCTAGGACTGGCAAGGTGTCAGGTCCCTTTAGTACCCAATTTAGTAGCTACTTGGGTACACTAGCTAGAGAGAAGGTATTTATTCTATTTCAAAATAAATTTCATTTCAAATATATTGTTGATACTTATGTTGTTTATGTTGTGTAGATATCTATTCTCCATCCTACTTGGGATCATGTGGAGGAAACTGTGAAGAACTTGTTATGGCAAGATCTTCTTGTAAGTATGTGTATTTAGTTGTTTATATTGTTTATACATTATTATCAATTGGTTAACTAAAACTTGTTTGCTACTGTAGGAACACTTTGATATAGTCAATTCTGAGGATGTGAGGAGGAAGATAATGACAGCCATAGCAAAAATGTGGAGACAGTTCAAGTCCACATTGACCACTAAATGGGTGTATGCTGAGGACAAAGTTAGGAAGGGATTAACCCCTTGCCAAAGATATGGCATAGATGAGGACACTTGGAAGAAGTTTGTACATAGTAGGACTGGTTCAGAGTGGGAGGTAATGTTAATTGCTTAATTGACTTGAACATTTTATAATGAGTTGTGTATCTAATATTGTGTTCAATTATGTTGCAGGAAAGAAGACAAAAAGCAAAAGACATTCAAAGCAAGAATGTCGCCCCCCACCTTCTATCTCGTGGTGGGTACGACCTATTGACTAAGAAGATGATGGAGGAGAAGAGTAGACTTCGACAGTCGGAGTTAGCCTCTTCTGGTTTAAGCGAAGAGCAGATTCCTCCACCATCTCCTCCAAAACGTCACCAGAAGTGGAAGAGGGCTCGTACAAAGCCTTCTGGTGACATGACATCGTAGGAAGCCCGAGAAATTGCTGCTCGGATTGTAAGTAAAAGAAGTTAATTTACTTTGAATTAGTTATATGTAACATGTTCATTAATAAAATTAACTTTTATAATGTAGGATGCCTTGGAGGAGCAGTGTACACAGGGAACTTTCATCCCTTCTGGTCGTCAGGATATCTTGACCACTGCTATTGGACGACCAGAACATTCAGGTTGTGTTCGAGTTGTTGGCCAAGGTGTGGGTATCCGACAGTATTTTGGACCACCATCACAGGATATTCGCACCTCCACATCCCTGAGCCAAGAAGATATTGCTGCCTTGGAGATGACTCTCACAGAGAAATTGACACCAGCCATCAGGGCAAAATTGGAGGAAGAGTTGACTCCTGCCATCAGCGCACGACTTGAGGAGACCATCACTGCACGTGTGCAGGAGCAGTTCCTGCGTATGACCTCCATGGGTACTTCATTTGCTGATGCTCGTCCTCCATCAGGTGCATTTTCAACCACAAATTGGTACTTGACTTGTGTTTCTAAAATTTTTGTCCTTATTGGAATTTACTGTATTTGTAGGTCCAAGAGTTAGCACAAAGGGCAGTTGTGCTGAAGCCACTATCGAGGTCACACCTGAGGTGGCATCTATTCATCCTGAATCCACAAAGGATGATCGATATGGCTTGTGGGTTGAGGTAGATGAAGGTCTAAGACTAGTGGCCCATGAATCAGTTCATGAAGGGGCTTCAACCATCCACAATGTGCCTTTGGATCCTAACTTGGTCAAAGTAGTGGTTGAAAAGGTGGTTGACGCTGAGGCTAGTGTCCCTATCCCCACTAAAGAGGTGCAGACAGTGGGCCAAGCCCTTCAGACCTTCATTACTTGGCCCCGACATTTAGTTAGGTCAATCATGGCAAAGGTATGTATATGTATGGTTATAATACATCTAACACATAAATAAATTGATTTATTGTTTATGATTATATTTTATAAAATATGTAGGATGTTCAGCAGCCAAAAGACTTGGGTAAAGCTATTACCACTCCTTCTGGATCTAAGGAGAAGACACCAGTTGTGGAGACTTCTCCAAATCCAATTTTTGATCTCTTGTCTCTTTCCCCACAATTGTATATGCAGTCATTCCAAGTTCCATGGGATTGCACATTATTTGGGATGGCTTCTAGCAATATCCCCCTATACATTTCCCACACTGATGCCCTGGAGATTGGGATGGGCAACCAATGTCTAAATATAGTTGTTTTACAATTTTGGACATTGTAAGTTCATACCTTTCATGACTCTTTTCATTTTAGTAAATATATAAGCTATAAGTTACTTAAATTGGCATATTTTAGGATGATGCACGAAATGATAGTGGAGCAGGGCATTGGTCATGTGTATGGATTCTTCGAGCCTCAATCCATACAAAAGTCTGGGAATAAGCGTGATCAAATTCTCAGTTACATGCAGAATTTGATCACTGATTCTAAAAGAGATATTTACCTTGGAGCATACCATCATTCGTAAGTTATCCCAGCCTCTTCTGGTTTTACACAAGTTTCTTTAATAGATTCTAATGATGTGTATATACGAAACTACTGGCAGCTTATTAGTTATTTGTCCAAAGCAGAATCTTGTGTGTTGGTTCTGCTCATTGGGAAGGAAACCTGACATGGAGCTAAAAAATATTGTAAACGAGTAAGTATGTCTTATATTATGTTTAAACATCTTGATTATTCTATTTCTAAACCCCTTTTTTTCAATATGTAGTGCTTTAAAGGTTTGTAGTACATTAGGTGGAAAACACACAAGTAAAAGCACAACTTCAAATTGGAATTTTATCAAAGTAAGTAGCCTTTATATATATTATACTATCTATTAATTTATGTTCAAATTTAATAGTTATTTTTAACATATTTAGTCATTTTTAGTGTAACAAACAAAATGGAGGATACGAGTGCAGCTACTATGTAATGTATTGGATGTGGCTCATCATTTTTGGTAGCATTCAGGATAGTTGGAATGAGGTAAGTTGACATTTGCTATTATATTCAATTCCTTTATTTTTATTGCTTAGGGTTTACCATTCTATTATTGTGAACTTCTTACAGGCATTTAAAGATATAGAACCTTTGCCTATGGATACTATAGACATGGTTAGAAACAAATGGGCAGAAAAGTTTGTACAAGTAGTTAGGAATAGGATTGATTGATAATTTTTTGTGTATTTTGTACATAATTTGGCTGATTTTGACATATATATGTATCATTTTATATATAGTGATTAGCTGAAATAAATATACTGTCTGGACTGAGATTATAGCAGGTCATGTACTGTTGGTGGCACTAAAACAGACCAACATTTAAAAAAAAAGGGATATTCTACGTCGGTTATTGCATTAACCGACGTTGTAATGAATATACAACGTTGGTTATGGCATTAACCGACGTAGTATATTCGTTACAACGTCGGTTGAGCAATAAGCAACGTTGTATATATAACTTTCAACGTCGGTTAGTTCAATAACCGACGTATAATTTACTCATTTCTACGACGGACATTTGGTTAACCGACGTAGATTTCTAACTCTTACAACGTCGGTTTTTCTGAACCGACGTAGAATCCTTTGACATTCAACGACGCCTCATTCAACGACGTCATTAGAACCGACGTTGAATGCCTTCTACACCCGACGTTGAATGATAATTCTGTAGTAGTGATTTATCAGTTATAGTACATTGTAGACCAATTAGATGGTTATAATTCAGAGTTCGATAAGTTGTAGTTAATGCTAAGCATAAATTATTATATACAGTACAAGCTTATTCATAAAGATATGCAGAACTTTATACTTTATAATGTTTATATGATACATGTCTTGTAGATTTGACTCAAAAGGTATAATTCGGGAAGAAAAAAGCAAAATATTGTATCTAATAAAGCACATATGTTATAATTATGTTCGTACAAAAAAAATACTATATATAATTTTTTTATTTTTCCAAAAAAATACTATTATTTTACCTACAACATCCTTTAAACCTTAATTCCTTTTCTTCCGCTGTTTTTACTTTTATTTTTATCCCCTTTGGTTCTCCAAAATAAAAAAGACTAGTTTCACTTGGAGACTATAATAAATTTCATGCACATGTAAAATAAAAAATGAAGTTATTAAACTTTATTTTTTTTTAATGAATAGTTGTTATATAGTTTTTAATTTAAAGTATATTGTAGTTGAAGAAACATTTCTCGTGTACAGATAGAGTATCAAGTTAAAGCTTGAGTAAAGCTAATTTTGATTATTTAATTCACGTAAGTGCTCTCATATGTTCGTCTTCAAACATTTGTGTCTAGAAGCATCTTTGTTGATGAGTAAAATTAAGTGAGCACATTTGTTCTTTCCTTGAAGCCTAACGTTTTTCTTTTCCTATTTAGGAGTGGTACAATATCATCTTTTTCTAAAGTTTTGCGAACTTGCAACAAATTGCCAATGATATCCTTTGTCATGTCACATGTCCCATGAACCCCATCAGGGGTACGTTATGAAAATCACACTAGACAGCACATTTCACGCCTTCAAAGGCCCCAGCAGAAGCTACTTCGTATATTTTCTTTTTTCTTAACGGATTTACTTATAAAGTAATTATACCAAATGTAAACTTTTGTGCTCTCTTCAGCCTATTATATTTATACGTGGACGAACCATCCAACCCACAAGACATCCTTTGCTTACAGAGCTGAGAAGTTGAAGAATACTTGCTTTGCTACCCTAAAACCTGAACCACCATGTCACTGTCCAATGGAGCTGATTCAACTGCCACTTCCAAGCAGCAGAAACCTCAGCTGCCGAGCCCCTTTGATCTCACCGACTCCGAGATCCTTGAGAAAGTTTATCTCACCCACCTCCATGATGATGACAAGTGCGATGCAGATGTCCTTTTCGACATTGTGTCCAGTGTTGTACTTAAGGTACTGTATAATTCACCTTCTTTCATACATTCATTCTCCCACCCCATCAAATTACAAACCCTTTCAATGTCAACAACGTATTTACTATATATGCATGTTTAATTATCATCTAAATATACTTAAGATTAATTTTAATTGGTTATATCGTGAGTAACAGACAAGGTTAGCTGAAGGCAAAGCTTATCAGACCGTTTTCCGACCAGAGTTTCATACAATGAAGCGGATTTCTAGTCAGGTTATCTGATGGCACAATCATTATTATTATTCCTTACTTTCTTTGCATATATATTATTAAATGAAATGTGTCATGCTTTATTTCGCTTCGTTCAAAAGGGCGAATTCGTTTGTATTATATTATGATCTTGTGTTTGCAAATGCACTAGTTTGAAGAACATTTTACACAAGTGATAGTATGATATGATAACAGATGATAACCACACCTCGTGGTGAACGTTATGTGCACCAAACAACAATGTGCATTCTTCATCACCTCAGAAGCTATTCGTGGGATGCGAAGGCACTAGTAACTCTAGCTGCTTTCGCTTTGGAGTATGGGAACCTTTTGTACCTCAGTGATGTTGCAACGCCAGATAACCTTCTTACAAACTCGTTGAAACAACTGAATCAAATTCAAACCAGAAAGGACCCTGCGACATTGGTGGCGGAGGTGATGAAAGTGCTCCGTAGCATCCAAGAGTGGGAAAGATTGTCTTCTTTTGGTTATGACATACTGGATGTACCATCTTTGTCTGATGCCCTGCAAGAGGTCCCTGTTGTTGTATATTGGATAATTGCTTCCCTTACTTCTGCTACTGGCAACCTCATTGGTGTCTCGTAAGTTATCTTCTCAATTTAATTATCACCGATTATAAGCTGCTGAAGGTTTTGACGTGATAAGTGTGTAAACTATACAGTTGAGTAACATTTTAATATTTTTCTTATATATAATTTTGAGAATAATTACTATAAAATTAAAAATTCTTAATGATTCGATATAAACAAATATATTATTAAGATATTTTAATTAAATTAATTCATTAATTTATACAATTATAAAATTACGTGGTTTTTATTCTTAATGAGTAACTAAAAATATGCTATTTGTCAGAAATAAGATTAAAATTTGTAAAAATTTTGTGCAGACTAAAATTTAAAATGACATTTTTTTTCTCGTTATTTAACCAACAAATAGCTTTTAGAACAAATTCCAATTGTTATATTTATTTATATATATATATAATTTTTTTTTCTCAATGCAAATATCACCTAAATTATGAGTGAAATTCTTTATTTAATTTTGTTTCAGGGACTATAAATTATCAGATTTTGTGGAGAGGCTTTCTTCTGCTGCTTCTAGATTCAAGGAACATCTGAAATTGAGCGGAGAGCAAAAAGGTTTATGCTTCCTATTGTGTTTAATTTTGGATTGACCAATAAGTATGATGAAACTGATCAAATACTAATAAGAGATCATGTATATTTGTTGCAGGTAATGCAGATGAAAACTACAAGCGCAAGAAGGCATTTGCTAATCCCAAAGATATTGTACAACTCTTGAAGCTTCTGATCCAATATAATGAATCTAAGGTCAAAATATATGATGGCAGCATAAAAAACGAAGTGGTCGGTCTCTAAAACATTTAGACCTCATCTTTTGCCTGTTGTTTATGTGATATTAAGATGGAACCATTGATCTATCCAAAAGTTGATGACTATGCCAACATATCTTTATATATGGAAAAAAAAAAATTATCTAACCTTTTCATTTAGTTATTTTGCTTTATTGGGATCAATTTAAAGACAAAACTAATGATGATATCTTTTTCTTTCTGATATATGTTCCAAACAGGATATTGAAGTCTTCGACCAGAAATATGTCTTGTTGTTCATTTCAAGCCTCGACAAGATTAAAGATGAGATTTCACTTTTAAATTCAATCTATGACAGATTGCAGGAAAATCCAAATGAAATAATAAAAAATTACAAGAAAGAGGATTTCAAGATATTGTGGATTCCGATCGTGACTTCCTGGGACGACAAGCAAAGACTCGAATTCAATGCGTTAAAGGATACCATCAAATGGTACGCAGTGGAGTTCTTCACTGAGCTACCAGGCACTGACCTAATATATGAGAAATTTAATTACAGGGGTAAACCTATTATCCCAGTCCTCACCCCCCTAGGTGACACGTTGAATGATGATGCTATGGACTTGATTTTTCAATGGGGGATCGACGCGTTCCCCTTTAGGAAAATTGATGGTATTGATCTTACTCTAAAATGGAAGTGGTTCTGGGATGCAACAAAGAAAGCAAATCTTGGAATACAACAGGTAAACCCATTGCTCACTGCTGTTATTTGATCACCTCAGATAGATAGATATATGATGATGCACTAATTTTCTAGTGATATATAGTAGAGATTGATATGAAATCTATCTAATTGTGTGTCGTTGTTTTCGACGTGAATTAGGTCACCGGGGACAGGTATATTTTCATCTATGGAGGTGCTGACAAAAATTGGATCCAAGACTTCGCAGTGGCAGTGGAAAAAACCAAAGGGCATGCAATTATCTTGAACACTGACACTATAATAGATCACTATCAGTTGGGGAAGGATGACCCCAGAGTTGTTCCTCGTTTCTGGATCGAAGTAGAAAGGAAGAGACTGAAGAAGCATAAGGATGTGGTGGACTGTGAGATTCAAAAAATCGTGAGGACCTTGCTTTGCCTTAAACAAGACCAACAAGGATGGGCTATTCTTACCAAAGGCTCTAACGTGAGGGTTCTGGGTCACGGTGAGCCTATGCGCCAAACTTTGGTTGAGTTTGATGCATGGAAAGATAAAGTGTTTCAAAAAGAAGGCTTTGACGTAGCCTTCGATGAATACTATAAGATCAAGCTCAACGAGATATACGCTCGTCAACAATGTGCTATTGTTAAAAATAATGCAGATGTCCTGGTGACTATAACATGCCCAAATCCCACATGTGGCCGTGTGATGGAGGTGACTTCTGTTAATTACAAGTGTTGCCATCGTGATGCTCCGAAAAGTGGCAACATCTGAATGTGAGGGGGAGGAGAAAGCGGTTAATTCTTAGCCTCCATAAGTTTGCTTTGGCAAAACTTTGTATTTGGATTTCTTTTTGTTGTGTCGATGAGTTATATATGCATGTCCTTGTGTGAAGATGAAAGCCCACTTGGTTTTCCCATGATGAATGGGGAAATGAATAATGGCTTTGCTTCATCTATGTCAATTGTCCACCATAAAACTCAATAAACCTAGCTTTGCATATTCATGTTCTTCCTTAGCTTTCGTTTTTGCAACACTTTTTTTTTTTTAAGCAAGTGCTGATATTTTTACATCACAAAAGAGAAAAATATTCATTCAACAATTCATTTTTAAATTTTTATATTATTATTTATTTATCTTATTTCATTTTTTCTCCATCAATAAAAAATAAAAATAATAATAAAATATTTATAAAAATAGATTGTGAAAATATCTTTTGCCTTTTTAGCTTATGATATTGACATGATGTTTTCTTAAAACTGTGAACATTAATGACTTTGTCTAGGAACAATACAACTCCTTTCAGCAAGGGGACAAACTGTGCCCACATATCATTATTATGTCAAGCTTTACTGTCACGTGCGGCTACATGTATTTGCAGTTCAGATTTTTAAGGGTTTTGCTTCACCACTTTATCCGTCCCCGATGTATGATATTATTTTAAAAGTATTTATATATAAATTAATTTTAAAAATATTATTTTTTATATTTTATTTTTTATAAAAATAAATATAATATTATAATTTTTAGAATATTATTATTAATTGAGTGTATATTTTAATGTATTATGTTTATATTAAAATATTTATGTACAAAAAATATATTTCATCATTCTTTTTTTCTTTTTATTATAATTTCTTAATTCTTTAAAATTATTAATCCTTGTAGAAAATATATAATAAAAATAAGTTTTAATTAATAATCCTTTCAACATAATTATGAAATACATTTAAAAATATTTATAAATAAGTAAACAAAGTTTTTCATTAAAAATAATATAAGAAAACGGCATAATAATGCATAACGGTGCATAACAATACATATAAGAAAAATAACAAATATTGGATAATTTAATGATTATCCTCCAAATGAGCAATAATGTCACTGTTCATCAATTCACCTACATAATTTAAAATAAAATATATTATTGAAAAGAGAAATAAAATATTAAAAAATAAATAATAATATTTTTTCAATAAATAAAATAATACCTTCATCACCGAGAATCCATCTCATTGAGTAAAATAGCAAGTCATCAATTAGTTGAGAATTCACACCACCTAAAGATAAAATATAAAATTTGAATACTTGTTAAAATCTAAAAATACAATCATTAAATATATATTTAAAAAGGTATATAAAACATTATCATTGTTTTCAGTACTTCATAACCAACTCCTAGCACACACCAAAACCTCTAGAGTAGTCCAATCACTACTAGAAAAATGTCAAATAGTAACCGAAATCGATGATCGAAAAATTTAGTTACTATCGATGACCGAATCAATAACCAAATTATTATTTTTTAGTCTAGTAATCGAAATAGTAACCGAATTTTCGGTCACAAAAATCGATTACTATTTCAGATCACTTTATTATTTAATTTATTTTTTTAATTAATCTATATTTAATTTATGTAATTATTTACTACAAAAAATGGTTAATAGTGATCTGAAATTAGTGACTGATTTTTTTTATATTTAGTAACTGATTTAGTGACTAAAATTTCAATCACTAAAAAAATAATTTTTAAACTGATTACTATTTTTCATTTATATAAATATTTTATTTAAAATATTTTAAATATAAATTTACTTAATGATTTAAAATAATTGATAACATTTTTAATAAAATTATAAATATTAAAAAAAATTGTTTACTAACTTATTAAATAATTTAGTAATATAATTATTTGATTTTATTTTTTAATTTAGCATGTGAATAAAAAAATTAAAATTGATTATTAAATTAGTCACCGAATCGGTCACGATCGATCTCGATCATCATTGATCGATCGGTCACCGATCATCGATTCGGTCATCGATCGATCATCGATCGGTCACTAAATCAATAATTAAATTAATTATTAATTTAGTCTCTTTATATATATATATATATATATATATATATATATATATATATATTACTTGTATGTTAATAAAAATGTATTTCAATGTATTTATAAAAAATTAAAATTATTTTAATTACTGAATTGATATTTTAAATTTATATTAATATCTTGAATAATTTAATAGTTGGATATATATATATATATATATATATATATATATATATATATATCACTTTAATTTTTTTAATTAAAATTAATTTCATAAAAAAATTAATATTTGAAAATTAAAATGCAAAAAATATATATATATATATATATATATATATATATAAATTTATTTATTTTTTAAAGATGATATATTCAATGTATGTTAAAAAAGTTCAAGTCAAACTGTTTTTATAGAAGATTTTCAAAACTCACTTGGTTTAATTAATCTGTTAAAAGATTCTTTTAATATGTTAAAAGTGCAATTTTAATCTGTTAAAACTTCTTTTAATCCATTAATAAGTTCTTGATTCTTTAACAGATTTGTTTTAACTGATACGACAACGTTTATATCAATTAAAACACTTTACAAAAAATCTTCTAAGTTGATTTAATCGATTGTTCGCGATTCAATCGATTGAAAAACTGCAAAACTTTCTCCTAAAACTTTTCAAGTTATTTTAACTGATAAAAATAAGTTTTAATCGATTAAAACGTCTGTGCAGAATCGTTTTAATCGATTGAAACGAGATTTAATCGATTAAAATAGTTATGATCGGTCATAAATACATTCCGACCGATCATAATTGAAACCATATAATAGCGGTTCAAGGGTTAACCGCTATCTAAGTCATATTTTAAGAGCGGTTCCTGTGTAACCGCTATCTAAACTGTATCTCGCTTGAGCGACAACATTCTCGCTCGAGCGAAACTCCCCCTGCACAAAATTAGTACTCTCGGGTTGTATTTCGCTTGAGCGATCCTATCTCGCTCGAGCGATTATTGATTCTGATCGATTATATTTTCGAAATGATCGATCATATTTGATAATTTTTTCAAATATTTAATTATAATCGATTAGTTTTCTAAATTATTGATTAGAATTGATTAGTTTTTCAAATAATAGATTAGAATTGATTAATTTCTGAAATATATACTAAAAAATATTATTAAAACTATAAATTAGTTAAGAATATTGACTATTGTAAAGATAAAGTAGAAACATTGGAGGAGATGAGGATGATAATATAATGATAGAACTTACAAAAATGTAGAATTGAGAAGTTTGAAACAAATAAAAATAAGAAAATAGATATTTAATTACACTTTTAATAAATTTAAGATAATACTAGTTTTAATTTTTATTTTTAAATATTTATTTTAAATATTTAAAACAGAGAAACTATAATTTTAGTTTCTAGCTACTGAATTTAAAGAATTAAATTTATTATTTAATCTTTTAATTTGTAGAATTAAACTCAATATAATTGTGAAAAATACTTTGTAGAGGCATTTGAGAAAGCTTTTGTCAAAATACTTTGTTTTTAATTGTTAAAAACATTTGTAGAGGCATTTTGCAAAACATAATTGAGATGATATGATAGCGGTTCCACCTTAACCGCTATCTAAAGTATAATTAAGATAGCGGTTAATGGTTAACTGCTATTAGAAGTTCACTTTTAAGAGCGGTTCTCGTGAAACCGCTATCTAAAATGTATTTCGCTTGAGCGACAATATTCTCGCTCGAGCGAAACTCCAAGTGCACAGAATTTGCATTCTCGGGTGTATTTCGCTTGAGCGACACTACTCTCGCTCGAGCGAAATACGATCCTGATCGATCATAACTTGAAATGACCGATCATAATTGAGAGAATATAATAGCGGTTCCCTCATAACCGCTATCTAAAGTGCATATTAGATATCGAGGTGTATTTCGCTTGAGCGAGACTACTCTCGCTCAAGCGAAGTCCGATTCTGATCGATTATATTTTCAAAATGACCGATCATATTTGATAATTTTTTCAAATAATTAATTATAATCGATTAGTTTTCTAAATTATTGATTAGAATTGATTAGATTGATTAACTTGAAATATATACTAAAAAATTATAATTAAAACTATAAATTAGTTAAGAATATTGACTATTGTAAAGATAAAGTAGAACATGGGAGGAGATGAGGATGATAATATAATGATAGAACTTACAAAAATGTAGAATTGAGAAGTTTGAAACAAATAAAATTAAGAAAATAGATATTTAATTACACTTTTAATAAATTTAAGCTAATACTAGTTTTGATTTTTATTTTTAAATATTTATTTTAATTATTTCAAACAGAGAAACTATAATTTTAGTTTCTAGCTACTCGAATTTAAAGAATTAAATTTATTATTATTTAATCTTTTAATTTTAGTATTAAAATTTTAAATTATATTTTTCTACTTTGAGAATGAACCATATAATTAAACTCAAAATTGACAATATTATAATACATTTTTGAACTCTTTTGGATTAATTTTTTTTCCTAATTTTTGATAAAGTTAATTTTAATATTTAAAAGTATTTAACATTTTGAATTCTGAAAGGTTTTCTCTAATAGAAAATTTAAAAACATAATATAAAAAAAATAGTTAATATAAGTTTTCAAGTTATTTTAACTGATAAAAATAAGTTTTAATCGATTAAAACGCTTGCAGTAAATTGTTTTAATCGATTGAAACTAGATTTTAATCGATTAAAATAGTTATGATCGGTCATAATTGCATTCTGACCGATCATAATGGAAACCATATAATAGCGGTTCAACGGTTAACCGCTATCTAAGTGAGATTTTAAGAGCGGTTCCTGTGTAACCGCTTATCTAAACTCGTATCTCGCTTGAGCGACAACTTTCTCGCTCGAGCGAAACGCCCCTGCACAAAATTGGTACTCTCGA